AAACCCAATTGCATAAAAATGACATTCAAAAACATTGATTATTTCGAGTGTGAGAAGTAAGAAATAAGCAGTATAAACTACTTTAAGTTCGGCCAGGCCGAACATTTTTTACTCTCCAACGTGTGAAAAATTATGTTATTGTAAAACAAGTTAGAAATTAAGTCTGTGTTCCTCTTTTTGGACATACCATAAACACATTGAGTCATTGCGGGACAGGTATCAGAAGGAGTAAATCGATTTCGTTTATTTTATCTCGGACTAAAACAAGTTCTAAATTAAGATATGAAAAGTTTGAACGAAATTAGTTATACCCTTCAATTTTTATGAGATAAATTATTATTTATTGATTCTTTTTATACCCTACGACACTATGTGTTGCCAGTATTATAAGTTTGATTGGGACAAAAATTATGCAACATCTCGAAATATTGGTCTCCAACATAGGAATATAAATATGGATCTTCCTTTCTCGCCGAGCTGAGTCAATCTAGCTATGTATGTCCGTCTGTTTGTCCATGTTAATTTATAATCACGCTACAAGTGGACGTTGAAATTGAAAATAGAGTTGGGGTTTGGATCAGAATAGAAGCCTATTGTTTTTGCGATGAAATAGACCAAAAACAGAAAAAAACCTGATTTTGTTAAAATTATAAACCAATCGACGCGGAATTTTACATAGAGTTAGGCTTTGAAGTTTGAAAGGTTATTGTGCAATCTATAGCGGGTAAAATAAACTTTAAACTCTATGTCAAAAAATACGAACATTTCCACTAAACCGTGAATATTTTTAATGCCTGCCAAATAAAAAATAAATTAAAAGGTCACATTATTCGATTATAATTCAAGAACCGCGGGATAGATTTTCGCAATTCTGTTCGATTCGAAACGGTCTTGCAAGAAAAGTACAAAATCTAAGAAAATCGCGTAAAAATATGATATGATAATTTTTTGTTAAATTTTTTTATCGCATGCGATTTTTTCAATTTGACTTACAATTTTGAATTGTACACTTTATAAAGTTTTTCTACAGGGTATTAGGGCTTTACGACATCATTTTAAAGACGAAATCTTCCAAATTAGGAGGCTTTCAACATATTGTAGTAGTGTAGGGTAACACATGGACTGCCCCGCATGGCTATAGTCTTTGCTTGTTTTTTTTAACTCTTGACTTCTTGTGGGAAAGCTCGAAGTTTTATAGAAGTTTTACCTTGTTCCAAATTCGGACAAAGATACACGCGTCGAGATTTATAGTTCTCACCAGGCAGACGGGCAGAAATCGCTAGAAAAAATAGAATAGATCTCAATTTAATATATCTCTATTTAAAACCATTAAGGACCAAAAACTATACAACATCAAAGTACTCACATTTTGATTGGAAATTTTGGCTGAAACCTTCCAAATGCCGAATATAAACAATATGAGGGGAATATCAAAACGTCAACGGATACAGCCTATTTTCAACAGCAATCATCTTAGGAGTGCTTCATATCCCCATATCACATTTTACTCACTTTACTTATATATTTTGGCCTCTATGGCTCAACTTCAAGGAAGCTAGAAAAATGCTTCTCTGTAACGGGGTCTTATTGTGTCAGACAAATATTGCATCCAAGACAGTTGGAAAAGATTGTTTAACACAAAATTATACATTTTGTTGCCTGTTAACGTAAAAAACATGCCTTTCTGTTGTCTCTTAATTTGAAATAATTTCAAATCATTTTTTTATCAAAACAATACACACACATATATACAAACTGTGTATATGTATTGACAGAATAGGAGCACAAAAAGAAACAAATTGAATTTAGGGGATAGCTTTGTTCTATCTTCTGTAATTGTGCCATGGTAACCCCTATCTAGATTCCAGACAGAAGGGCATACATAGGTACTATAGGCATTATTAATTTAACTAAACATTGTAGGCTGCTATATACTATATGGGGCATTTGACGAATATTTCAAAATGTTCCAAAGGTCTAATTGGTATTACAGTAAATGTAATTGACCTTTCAAAACGTAGAAAATGGGGCTTGTTATTGAGATATCAAACACATACACCGGCATTCTATATAGGGTAGTTATTTAAGAAAAGTCATTCTACCCCCTATCCATCTCATAACCATAAACGTCTCCTGTTATTAATTGTCATATAATAATGTATTGCAAAATAAATCGCATCTAATTCCTCAGTTCACAATCCTTTTGGTTTTTTATACGCCAATAAAAACCAAATATACGTGATATTTGTGATACTCGTTATTCTTTGATAAGGATACAATCACAGACCCAACAAATTCATATTTGAAAAAAAGAAGACGTCATTTGAGCGATTCGTTTGAAGTGTCTCCATCTCGGGTCAATGCCAAATATATTTTCTCTTGAAACTTTATATTTGTCAACAGTGTTAACGTGTCCTTTCCATTCACAGTTTGATATACCTTAAAACAAAATGTACAAATTGGATTAGTAAAATGGTCCCTTTGGAAGATAAAACGTCTTCTCGGCAATTATGTGTACGAAAGAAATTAAAAAATATGCACAAATTTAATAATTCATGCCAGTCAGTCTGTTAGTCAGTCACTATCTTGCATGTCTTTCGAACACAAGTCTGTGTGATAGTTCAACACTTACACACACGCACACCTCATGCACCCGCACCCGCACCCGCACCCGCCCTGTAACTCGGTAGCATTACGTGGCAATCTTTTTGAATTTCGTATTTATTCTTCTACTTCAAAGACCTGGGGAAAACATCGAACAAAAAGAGAATTGCCAAGAAACTGTACGTTCTGGTGTGGAACAGGAGTTAGATCTCCAATGAAATTCTGTGCCAGTGAAAAATGTAAAACTTTCGATTTTGTGTGTGCGGAGACAATGACGACAATGTCACCTCGATTCACTCGGTCTGCTGTCCTCATACCTCACGTACCACTACAAGTTGAAGGAAGTACACTCGGGGGAATATTCTACAGCAGACTTGGAATCATAAACGAGCCCCTCGCCCCACATCATGTGTGTGTGCTTGTGTGTAAACGTGTATGTGGGTGTGTGTCTAACTAAATGTGCAGATGTGTCTTTCTTTTTGATTATTTTCTATAGAGCAAAGGGCACAGTGGTGCATATTCCCCAAAGGAGGTCAAATCTGTAACTTGTGAACAAAAAAAAAGCAAGATTTCTGTATTTTTATTTTTTAACCCAATAAAAGTTTATTGTTAGGTTAAAAGGAAAACAAATTCTATTTAATAAGCTGTTGGTCTTAAGTGTATATCGTTTTTGGGACTATTCAGCGCACTTGAGACAATATACAGTTACTGGAGTTGAAAATCGGTATTTTTCTGGTGCGGACACCAAAGATTCGAGAATGAAATAAAGTCCTCACACACAAGTATTTATTAACTTCAAAAGGAAATGGTTACATTTTAATGTGATGATGACTTTATTTTGAAAGATTTGAGACTTGGTGTTACTATAATATATACTCGTACCTAATAAAAACAAAACGCCTGTTCTGATTCATGATAGCTCCAGTCTTGGGTTCATATTTTCTTACAAAAAAGAAATAAAGAAATTGGCGTGTGATATTAGAAATATATGTGAAAATAATATTTAAATGCACCATTAATTTCAATCCTTAAAACCAAGGGATTGGTATTGAAATGGGATCCTCTTTATATGATTGAATCGTCATTTTAATATACGAATTTCCAGTATACCGAAAAGTGCCCGGCATTTACAAAGATTTTGAATACCACCGATTTTCTTAGTGTTTGAATATATGCAACGAAAATTCTACATAGCTGATATTTTTCAGCTTTGCCTGACTTGCCTGCTGATTTATTACATTCAGCTATTCAGCCTGTGAAGAGTATGCTTCCGAATTGTATAGCAAATAATTTGGGAATTTATAATATTGGATATTTTGATCCTGAAACTTTTTATTCTAGTAGTTTTATTTCTGCGCACTCCAGAACGTTTTTTCCGTCATTAATTTTGGAATTTTTTCCACGAGCTTCAATATTTTACAAAATATAAACGCAATTCAATTCGTTTAACTTTTGCAACAATCTTTAAAACTGTTTCTCTCTTCTGACCCAAACTTTTTCCAAAGTTTTTAGTCCATAGCAATTATTTGAAATGTCTAAAACGCATCATAAAATCAAAAGCTACTTCATCTTTTTGGTAATCTTTGAAAACAACTCTTGCTAATCAATAATGTAAAAGTTTACAATTTGTTTGTCTGACCTTTATGTTAATGATTCCGTCCTGACCCTTGAGCAGTAGACAACGAATGGAAGGGGAAAACGAAATCCGAAAATAAAGAGTTAATGGCATGGCACGAAACGGAACAACAACTGTGTGTTCCATTTTTTAACTAAATGTCCTTATTTTATTTTAGAATATATTTAGTTATGTGAAAACCCATAAAAAAAAATCGGTGGGTCGCTCCACCGTAACCAAACATCCCCTCCCTTTATCACAGGCCCTTGTTATGCAAATTCTGTACAATGATTAACATACACTTGACTGATTTCATTGTATGTGTGTGTATGTATGTGTGCATATTTACGCCGACACATGTTCGCGATCACAAAGTGGAAGTTGTAGCTGTAGGTGTGCGATTATGAATTCAAATATTATCCTTTCACTTGTGAGCGTCATAGTTTTATTTTTTTCTATCTATCTATTCTAACATTCATGAGACTTGAAACAAATCTCTGGTTTTTGTTATTCATTTTCAGTTTTAGTCAACGCTTCGACACCCACCATATGAAAATAGCTTGGAATTGTAAATTTCAGACTGTTTATGTAAAAGGAAAAAAAGTCATATGCGGAATTCTTGTGCCAAGCGAACTATGTATTTCAAATGGTGTATATTATATTCTTCAAACAAATTAGGCAGATCAATTCCGCTTTCTGTACATTTTTATAACAAAATTAATATATATTTTCCTTAATTTAATTGCACTATGTCATAATTTAAGTTTATTTTTTTTTTTAGTTAAAACTCCCAAATAAATTAAAAACATTTTAAAAACACTAAAAAATTAGCAAAAAATAAAGACTTCATCAGGTGTGGTCGACAGCAATGGTATAAAGACATTCGATTCGTTAAAATTCCTCACTATCTCTCGTTCTTGTCGGACGCCGAAAAGTAATACCCGTTAAAAATGAACTTAAAAAACATTTAACTGACATCTGCCGCCAAGAAACTCTGAGACCCGAAAACGCCTTTCAGAGAAAATGACAGATAAAATGGATTCTGTGACACGTCCGGAAAAACCACAGACTTTAGATGGCATACAATCTAGAAATTCCCTCGGTGATGGCAATTCATCGGCAATTTGCTCCGATGTCATTGTAAGTCACAAACGGTCGCGTTCGCGTAATAACATCGACACGGAGTCTCGTTCGCCGCGTGATCATTCATCGGACGGTGTCATGAGTACAGGGGCTGTAGGTGGTGCAAATGAATTTGAGAATAACGGTGAAAATACTCCACGTCGTGAAAGCCTTAACTACGACGAAACAAGTCCGAACAGTCAAAACTCATTGGCCAAGTCAATAATGGGTCGATCAATGCGCCTGCCATGCAGTGTTGGCGCAACGACACGTAAATGTGTCTTGACTTTAGACGGATATTCATACGTAATTGGTAAGTATGAACGGTGGGATCAAAATATTTTTTTTTGTTGGCTCTAAAGGATTTTATTTTAAAATATGTAATAAACTCTTTTTTGGACAAATAACCTCTGGATTTTAAAGGAGATCATCCCATATTTCAATTAAAAAACAATTAGTCACTAAAAACTCACATCGAAATGTGCACTTTTGAATAATGAAGATTTCAAAATTTAAAAATCAAAATAGATTTTCAGATTCCAATTAAAAGTTATTAACAAAATGGTATCGCATATTTTCATTGATATGACAATATTTTAAATTTCAGTTCAATTTTGAAGAGAAAATTATACCTCCGAAGTACTACGAAGTACTAATACAAAAAATAAATGTAAATAGTAATAACACAAATGGGTCAATAAGAAAGGAATTTTAATTACTTGTTTCTCTACAACCTCCAGAATATTTTCGCGATAATATTCGGCATTTATTCTGATGCCACGGTCGAATAATACAAGCGGGGAGCGACGATCGGCTGTTATGGCTGTCCACACCATCACTGGTGGACAACCGAAGGTGCACATTTTCAGCTGGCCTCTTTAGCAAGTAAACAGAATCATTTTGTTTGTTTACAAACTGCTGGACAACGAATGTTTTCTCATCGTCGAGAGAGAAAACCAAATTCGGCAGTTCACCACTTTCTGAATTTCAGAATACAGGTTAAAGAATGACTTAACATTTGAAACTTTTAAAACATACAAAGTTAGAATAATTAAAAAAAATTATGACACGACAAAATCCATAAAATTCCGATTTATGCTTCCTGACATCAATTCTTCTCAAAAATATGATCTTGGTATGTAATTTAATTTACACATTTTCATTGTCCTCGACATACATATGCATGTATGTATGTATGTATCTATGTTTGTATATCAAAACCATTACTGGCCATAATTAGAAAGGATAATTGTTTTCGTGTGGCCATTATTAGAATTTGATGGCAAAATTAACACCGCCATTCGCCTGACATACCCAGCGACGATAACAGAGAGCTGCAGCAACAACAGCAACAAATCCTTTAATGCGGGTGATTATGAACTGCCGAGCTTAGTAACGCATGTAATTATGTACTCGTCAGTGCGGGGCATTAGGATAATTCTGTAATTTAGCTGAGGCAGGCAGGCACACACACGCACTAATACACGAACACAGAATTTAGTGGTAATTAAATATGCAATTCTGCTGGCAGGCATAATGAGGTAAAATTAATTTCAACTTTTGAAATTTCTACGAAATTCAGGCACAGTAGGACAAATTAATAAAAACGTCTTGTAGGAAGATTTATTTAAAAGTAGCACTTGTTCAAATAATAAAATATTTTTAATAATTGTATATCTTTTTATATTCTTCTCTTTTTAGGTAAGTTTTTTCACTTCTGCCCAAACCCATGAATGTTATGACACCACAAATGTAAGTAATTCGTTATGTCCTTCGTCATTTTTTTCTTGTAATATAAAAATCTTTTAATTTTCTTGTGCTCACAATTATGTATTTAAAATGAAAAGGTCATTTATAAATGTTGACTCTATTGCGTCCCTTCTTCTGCTACTCGATAGAACAAAAAGTCCTTTCTCGAATAAACATTTGCAAGCCTGCTTAGGCATTTGTTGGTGGACGCATTGTTTTTGTTTTAGTTTTCGTGCTCTTTAAGTTGTCCTTTGGCCATCGTAAATAATAGAGTTGGCGACATTTTAAAGGATCCGTGTTACAAGCCAACCAATGCTTGTCTCCTGGAAAAAAATGTTATCTCGAATGACACTATTATGGCCGTTTTATTAAAGACCTTCTTCTGCTCGGCATTTAATGTGGACCACAATGGCCACTGTTGCCTTGTTCTGAGTCGGTGGCTGATTTTGTGTTACAACCGACCAGCAAAAGTACCAACAAACGTTACACGTTTAGGAAAGTTTTTTGTGGTGTTCTGTGGTGCCTGTGACCTGACATAAACGTATATTATGCCAATGGCAACGTCTACTCTGACACTTGAGGCCTGGGTAAACACACGGAAACCAACCCTTTTAAGGCAAAGCCGTCGATGTGTTCTTTGCACTCAAATGCTGGGCAAACAGGAATTTTGTCTACTTAAGAATTTTTACTTTGCTAAGACAAAGAAAACAAACAATTCGGAATCCTGAAGTATACCGGAGACGTAATAGAGGGGAGGAGGGGATTGTAAGTCCTTCACCCCCCCACTCTCCTCCCCTTGGCCTTTTACAATTTTTGCTTTGCTTTTGCCTCTATCCCTTACAACAATGACATGAGAAAGTAAGAGAAGGAAACAAAGACAAAAAATTATGATAATGACACAATTATGACCATATGAATGTCATAAAACGCTGGTTGTCAGTGGTGCATGGAATCGCCGCAGTGTCGAGGGATTCGCCGGAACATGTCATTAATTAATTAAAAGTATATCTTTAATGTCTTAATACAATGGCGACCACTAAGGACCCCGTTTGACCGAGTGTAACCAGAAAAGATAATAACATTGTGGACACTTTTAATGGCATCACGTACATGTGAATGTGTCTGTGCAATTACGTACATACATACATGTATCGGCTTCAACAAAAGCCAAACTGTTGTCAATACAACTTAATGGTCATACAGACAGTATGTTACAGCAATTTGCGAAACATTGCGGAGCAAACAATGAGTTCTCGCTCGCATTATGTTAATCGCTTTCAAATGAAATTCTTAATAGGTAATTCATGAATATTAATAATCATATTATGTTCTTATTTGCAAATCGGATTATGTCATTGGGGCGTTTAGAGATTAGTTTTTTTTTTTTTTGTACATGTACCAACTTGCTATGCAAATTATGGTTAAAAATTACGACTGGTGAAGGGGTAGGAAAGTGAATTTAAATCGTACTGAATGAGATGCATCTTCTTGTTTGTAAGATAAGGAACTATCGTGGCAATTCGATAACCGGATGTCAAATTGCCTACTTAAATAAAGAGTGATTTGTTAAGAGCTTGATAACTTTTTTAAAAAAAAAACGCATAAAATTTGCAAAATCTCATCGGTTCTTTATTTGAAACGTTAGATTGGTCCATGACATTTACTTTTTGAAGATAATTTCATTTAAATGTTGACCGCGGCTGCGTCTTAGGTGGTCCATTCGGAAAGTCCAATTTTGGGCAACTTTCGGCCGGAATAGCCCGAATTTCTTCGAAAATGTTGTCTTCCAAAGCTGGAATAGTTGCTGGCTTATTTCTGTAGACTTTAGACTTGACGTAGCCCCACAAAAAATAGTCTAAAGACGTCAAATCGCATGATCTTGGTGGCCAACTTACCGGTCCATTTCTTGAGATGAATTGTTCTCCGAAGTTCTCCCTCAAAATGGCCATAGAATCGCGAGCTGTGTGGCATGTAGCGCCATCTTGTTGAAACCACATGTCAACCAAGTTCAGTTCTTCCATTTTTGGCAACAAAAAGTTTGTCAGCATCGAACGATAGCGATCGCCATTCACCGTAACGTTGCGTCCAACAGCATCTTTGAAAAAATACGGTCCAGTGATTCCACCAGCGTACAAACCACACCAAACAGTGCATTTTTCGGGATGCATGGGCAGTTCTTGAACGGCTTCTGGTTGCTCTTCACTCCAAATGCGGCAATTTTGCTTATTTACGTAGCCATTCAACCAGAAATGAGCCTCATCGCTGAACAAAATTTGTCGATAAAAAAGCGGATTTTCTGCCAACTTTTCTAAGGCCCATTCACTGAAAATTCGACGTTGTGGCAGATCGTTCGGCTTCAGTTCTTGCACGAGCTGTATTTTATACGGTTTTACACCAAGATCTTTGCGTAAAATCTTCCATGTGGTCGAATAACACAAACCCAATTGCTGCGAACGTCGACGAATCGACATTTCACGGTCTTCAGCAACACTCTCAGAAACAGACGCAATATTCTCTTCTGTACGCACTGTACGCATCCGTGTGGTTGGTTTAATGTCCAATAAAGTAAACTGAGTGCGAAACTTGGTCACAATCGCATTAATTGTTTTCTCACTTGGTCGATTATGTGGACCATAAATCGGACGTAAAGCGCGAAACACATTTCGAACCGAACACTGATTTTGGTAATAAAATTCAATGATTTGCAAGCGTTGCTCGTTAGTAAGTCTATTCATGATGAAATGTCAAAGGATACTGAGCATCTTTCTCTTTGACACCATGTATGAAATCCCACGTGATCTGTCAAATACTAATGCATGAAAATCCTAACCTCAAAAAAATCACCCTTTATTAAACACCCGTAAATGAGAATTTAGAAAAGTTTTATATTCAAAAAAGAGACTTAAGGGGGTTTCCATATATCCATCCATTCGCTGATAAGTGCCTCACCATTAATTAAACCTGAAATGTTAATAGGTCATATTTGTATTTTTATATAAATTAAATGGAACAAACATGTCAGCTCTCCAAATAAATGTTTGTCTATGTGGACGACGAAGGACATCTCCTTAAACAGCACTGTATTACGTCGAAATTCAAAGAAACTTCATCAACACAACTTCTACATGTGACTGAACAATAATTTTTTTGTCGAATTTTTCATCCGAATTCAGGATTTCCATGAGTGGAAAATTCCATATTTATATTCGTAATAATATATTCGTAAAATTAAATAATAATATTGTAGGGAAAATTTATTTCCCGCAGTTCCAAATGATGACACAAAAGCGAACGGTCTAGATACCTTTCAGACCTTTTTTGCAATTCTATTTTCGGAAGTCCTTTCTTCGTTTCGGCAAATGCGGCAGTGATAATTTAGTGAGATTTTGAAAGATGTTAATGTTTTATGTCACGGAGACTAGAGATCCAATACTGCCGAGATAAGTGTTGACACGTTCCGTCAATAAAGACCTATCGAATGTGTTTTAGTATTGGCGTTCTATTAATATACGAGATGTTTCGAAGGTATCACAGGTTTGTACTTGCCTTAAATGTAGAGTTTAA